TTAACAGAAGTTGTCCTGTCTTTCTCCCGAGGAGTGGCTGGTAGCTTTAAACCTCCAACCTGCCACCAAACACTCTGACCCTGGCCCACGGGGGTCACAAGCAGCCCCCCACGCCCCAGCTGCAAGGTGGATTCCTCCTCGTGCAGGGGAGATCTGCCTCCAAGGGTTCCCAGGCTGGGAGGCCTTACCAAAGCAGACGGCCTCACCTATCTCCTGTGGAGGGCTCCCTCAGAGGGCGCCCCTGAGCACTGGAGGGGGCTGCCTGCTGGTCACGTTCCCCTGTCTCAGAAAAAGAAGCCGAGAGGTTCAGGGTGGCCCGGCTGGCTGACGACATCCTGTAGGGGGTACAGGCCACAGGCAGACCTGTCCGATCTCGACTGCCAGCCACCCTGTGTGGCAGGGTTTTTCTAGCTGGAAAGCTTTCTGGGAGCAGGTTGCCAGCAGTGTCCCCCCAGATGCTGCTGGGGGGTGGGTTCAAACCAACACTCTTGCTGGTCGGGTTGAGGACTTTGCGTCTTTGCCACCCACACTCCTGTGCGGAAGAAGGAGCACCGTGGACAGGAACAACAGGGGTGGGGGCTGGAACAATGGGGGTGGGGGTGGGGGCTGTAGTTTTGGAGTTGCCACCCTTCACTCGCTCAAAACCAAGCTGGTGGCCATCGAGGGGCTTCCTGCTCGCCCTGACCCTGCAGGACAGAGGAGACCTGCCCCTGTGGGCGTCTGGAGGGGAGCAGACACCAGGTCTCTCTCCTAGTGTTTGCCTTGGGGACATCCCCCCCAAAGCAGAGGCTGAGGTGGAAGTTGGGGTTGGGCGCCTATGGTTCAGTTGAGAGGTGACCCCCGTCTATGTGAGTATGGGAGTGAGGACGAGACAAGACGGGGGTCAACATGGGTATGCTGTGGAGCCTGCCCCCTCTGTGAGCAACACAAACCCAGGCCCACCCCGCCTGCCCGCCATGCTCCCTGCCCCCTGCTCAGGAAAGCCCCTCAGAGTGACCCTGTGGGACAGGAACTCTGCCCCCAAGGGTTTCTGTTTTCTCTAAAAACTTCTTGTGAATTGGCTAAAGGCTTACAGGGCGGATTTCAGCAGTTTCTTGCACTTGGATTGGGCTCATCCCCGGCAGCCCCCCAGGGCACCTCCGTTTCCACTCTGATTTCTCCTGTTCTAGCCCCTCCTTTACTCCCGACCTCTGAACTGTGATGCCGCGACTGCTCTCCTTTTCATCAACCACGGTTGATTTTCTGGGGAGGTTTTGGGGTTTTTGTGAAGAGGGGGTTCAGTTCCAGACTTGCAGGTTTCTTTTGTTTTTTAACCCCCAGAGTGCTTCCCAGGATGCCACCCTCATGGAGGGCATCGCAGGTTACGTATTAGTTGCTGACCCCCAGGCCGGCACTTGGACCCCACCAGCCTGTCCTCCCCAGAAAGATGAGGCTTTCTGCTCCCATAAAGACTTCCAGCCCCAGGAACCCACAGGGGCAGCTGGTCTGTGTCCCGTGAGGCCTCTATGAGTCAGAATCCATTCATGGCGCCATGAGAGATGGGCTATAAGGTGCAAGCATTCCGCCGATATCTTGGAAGCTGACCTTCCTCCCAAGGAAGCTCTGGGTAGCCTCAAACCTCGAGCCCTCTGCTTGGCAGCCGGGCACCAGCAGGGTCCCCTCACAGCATGTCAAGCCAGCCAGTGTCCTAGAGGTCGCACTAGAGGTCGTATTTCTTTATAGATGACATCAGTTTAGACTCGATTTTAAAATTGGGATTAAAAGTGCCAGGGCAGCCGAAAGGCCGGAGCTCCATCACTGCTCTCTGCTCCCAGTGCCTCCGTGGAGCCTGGTTCCTCCCTTGCTGGGTGGACAGAGAGTTAGCGCCCAGGACCCTGGACACATGGGTTCGCAGGCTGCTCTGACAAAGGTCAGTGCTTCAAACCACACCCATGGCCCTCAGTCACTGCTGACTCACAGCCACTCAGTGCAGCACTGTAGAACTGCCCCTGGGCGTTTCCAGGGCTGTAAATCTTTACAGGAGTAGAAAGCCTCCCCTTTCTCCCGAGGAGTGGCTGGTGGGTTTGAATCGCCAACCTCGCAGCTAGCAGCACAATACACAACCTACTGGGGCACCAAGGCTCGTGTACAAAGCATCCACCCATTCAGCACCCATCCACCGGTCTACCTGTACCGGTCAGGGGTGTGGACTACATTCTCACTCTCCTTTTCAGAGTTGTTCCTCC